ACACTCCAAGATGCAATAAAGGAAGCTAGCGAAAAAGAAGAGCACTGGAAGAAGAAGCGCGAGGAGTTTGAGCGCCAGATTGAGAAGGATCACGAACACAATGAAGATCTTTTAAAGACAACGAAAGAGCTACAAAGCTCTTTGGAATCTGAGAGGGAGGAGAACGCATCACGAAAGGTTTTCCTTGTCGATTGTTCTTTTTATAGGGGGAGTATTGGTACCGCTATTTTTGTTGACAACATTTTTGGTTTTCTAAAGGCATTATTTTCACCTGTGAACTTTGGGATAAGAGTTCTATTTTCCATTTTTCGTTCTAAAAACGGCCTTTCTTTCAAAATTATTGATTGATAACTTAACTGCAACTAATGCCTGGGCTCTTTCAACATCGTAAATGAAATTTGCAGCCTATCTAATGCAAAGTTGTCACTGTGTACTCCCCTAAATGATTTTCCAGGCGAAAATTGAGGAACTCACAATGAGAACGAGTGAAGCGACCACTCGCATAATTGAGTTGGAGAAGGAGATCGAAGAAGATCATAAAAAAGCAATGACTCTGGAAGAGACCCTAGAGAAGTTGGTGAGTGTAATCTTTTTTTCCCCTTTTTTTCTCAAATATGACATCTCTCAAAACCAACAGCGTTATCCTTTTTTCTAATAGTTTAGAGCTCGAGCAATTAATTCTTATGAATTTCCATTTTGGCATCTGTTGGTAAATCGAGTACTCAACTCTAACTCAATGCGTTTGAATTATCAAGCAATATATCACTTCGTTACAGAATAAACAATTAGCCGAAGAGAAGGGTCGTTTTATTGAGTTGCAAAAAAAGTACGAGGATGAAGTCGTCATGTTAAAGGTAATTATTGAGCAATTTTATTGATTTTGCCTGTTAAATAAATCATGCCTCCAGTCGGTTGAGAATGCTCTCTGTGACTCTAAGATTGAGCTCGATTCTCTGAAGAGCAGCGCAGATACACGACAAGCGGAACTGGAGTCGCTTGTTCAGCAGTCGGAGTCTAAAATAGCGGAACTGCTGGCTGTTGGAGAAGGAAAAGAACAAGTAAACATTTTATTTTCCATGAACTACGTGATTTCTTTCAATTTCTTCAGGAACTCCTTCATTTATCTAATGCAAATGCTCGACTGGAGGAGGAACTCTCGGAAAGGACAAAGGAGCTGGATGGCTTCAACGAGCGCATGGTAATCCTTTTTTTGACTCATCATAATTGCCAGTTCTATTGCGTTTTGTGTGTCGTGAAAGTAGTGAAGCACCTCCGAAAATGTTATGTCTTAGTTCATGAAACGAAGTATCGTGCTGAGTCGGGTATAAGACCTCCATCACAGAATGCCCACCTTAGCGGGTGTAAGGCCAACCTCTCGTTTGCCTTAGATCTTTCCTCCTTTGAATATATACTTTTCAAAAATATCACATAGAAAGTCAATAGAACACACCGAAATCTACAATTAGCATTGCTCCTTCATTTGGCTTTTCCACCTTCTTGTCGTCCATCACTACCCATCCAGTTTTCCAGTGCCTTCACATCGAATAAACACGAAGGCAGGTTTAAAAGGTTTTAATTAAAGTGGAATGGGCTTCAATACTCATCCTAGGTCAAGGTAGTTGAAATGCGTTTGTGTTATCTATGTCTGGCCTGTCAGCGATAGATACGCTTCAATAACGAGAGAACTAGTTGTCTTCTTATAGCGGCTTTATGCATTACTACAATAAATAAAATCTTTCTTCCAATCTTTCTTTGCGAATCGGTAAACTTTTGAGCTGATGGGTGTAGAGATTTAGTTAGTATAAATATCATTTAAAATAGCAGCGCAGGATCTCAACAGCAACACAGCAGGGGTGGTGCAGTCCTCTAGTGACTTCTACATTCGGATGCAAAGGGCCATAGCTCCCGGGTGACTGGAACTCGGCGACAATGTCTCTGCTCATTGCTGCGCTGTTGTTATCGTACTTGCCGTGTGCTGCTATCGTAGAGGTGCAATAGACAGAAGACAGCGCGGAGTGATCGGTTCTCTTTATGGCAGATGAGTTAACGAGGGTACGCGCTGGCAGAATTGTATGGGGTTATATGGGTCCTTGCTTTTAGTTTGCATTTCTGTACTCTGTGAGAGTGTCGCACTACTTTCGGGAAATCCCAAAATTCTTATCCTGATCCTCGCGCGGACTGCTTTCGTTAAAAGAAATGTGGTATTTGATAAGCATTCCTTCCTATGAAAAGGTTTGATTGAAAGAGAAATGAAACGTAATCTGAGGAAGGC